CTTTCCTGAGAATATCTCCTTTGGTCTCACTTGTGTGAATGTTTAGAGACCTGTTTAATTTATCATGTTTAGTCACTTTCCTTTTCATTAAACTCTTCTTATATCTGCCAGTATTTTTTAATAGCTAATACCAATCTTCATATAAGGAGTTTTCCTGTTACCCAGTATCATTGTTTTTATATTAATATAAAAATACTTAATCTTTCTATAATTATGTGAATAAAACTGTTTTATCACTAGTTTTTAATATCTTTTTATATGATTTTCATTAACTTCAGTAAGTGGATGCTTTTTCATGAAATTGTGAGATTTCTGTAGATTAATCAACTCAGTATATTAGCCACCCCACATATAATAATAATAAAAAAAAAGAAGCAGCACTACTGTTACAAAAACTCTCCACTTACTTTTCTTTGAACTCAGAATCTTAGTATTGATTGTCATAAGCAAAATACTCAACTGTTTCTAGTCAACCAAGTTCAGATTTAGGCAAACCCCTATGGAGACATGAGAGCAAGAGACCTGGCTGACAATGGAACGGCAGATGTTGGGGCCAAATCACCCTGACAACTCCTCTCAATAATAAATCTGAGAAGCTAATCTCTGCTAAATTGTTAATGGCTGTTAATGAGATACTCAGTTACCCTTTCTGATAGCATATTTGCATATAAATGAGCACCTTCTGGAAGGGCTCCCTTAACCCAAACAAGAGGTTCTGAATGCTGACTGGGTTTCTGGCTTTGGTTTCACATTGTTCCTTGCTGAGACTCATGACATAAGTAAACCATTTGATCTCTAATTTGAGAGCACCAAAAAGGATGCATCACCAAACTCAAAGTCAAGATTTGAAGTTAATTTTTTAAAAAAGATAATGCAATGAAAAAAAGAGGAGGAAAAGAAAAACAAATCACTTCCACCCTATCTTACACATTGAATTAAATTAATCTATATTCTAGAATGAATATCCTATAGGTTGACATCAAATATTTCCTATTTATTGTTCCTTTTCCTCCCATTTTCCTCATGTCATGTCCCATGCTATAATCTGGGAAGCATTTACATCTTGTCATTTAATGCCTAACTTTTGTCTTTTCCTAAGCACCATCAGCACACTGATTCCCTTCTACTTCATAGGGGAAAGAATCTATGTAATCATGAGAAACTGTCTATTCCTCCAGTAACTCTGCTTCACACAATGAAATCTATACCAAGGAACAAGGGGAAAACATATGGAGCTGTTCCAAATCATTACTCTTAGATGCCACTTCCTTGAATAAAATGAATGAAAAGACAAAACATTTTTTACTCTTTGGGAAAACCTGTGCAACATTATTATCCATCTTACTTTCAAATACAGGCAAAATCAGGTTATGTGTGTAAGATCCAAGGCCAGGGCTGTTTAACTATAAGAGCTCTAATGTTCAGAATTATATGTCTCTGTAGCTCCCCTTGCTTAATTATTCTCTTACTTATTAGGTCTTTAATCTCCATCATTTTATCACTAACAAATCTTTCACCTATATTATAAATTGTTAGGGGCTGAACATTTTCTGTTTTCCAAGGGGTTTAGAAGTATTATGATAGAAACCCACCCAAGAGGTAAAAAAGCATATTTGTTGTGTGTGATTGCCCTTTAAGTTCTGTAGCAAGGCAATTTTCTATCACCTAATCCCTGTGTTGTTCAAATAATCCTATTTTACTATTCTTTTGTTTTTGTCTTTCTTTGTGACCCACTGACAATATGAGACAGCTCAAAATAATGTATGTAGTAAATAAAATGTGGCATGAAAATTGCAAACATTACAAATTTTAAAATGCAGTAATCAAGGTATTTACAAAACAAATTCATAATGTAGAAATAAGGGACTTTAAACTCATTAACATATAGCAGTGGTTGTGTTTGCCAATATATTTTAAAATTGTGACACCTAGGGCCAGATTCTGGTAGCTAACATCTGTAATTTTCCCTATTCAGAAAGCTGAGATCTGAGAATCCTGGTTCAAGATCAGCCTGGGCAGAAAAGTCCATGAGCCTCTTAATACCAAAAAGCCAGAAGTAGAGCTGTGATTCATAGCAGAGTACTTGCCTTGAGCAATAAATAAATAAAGCTACAATACCTAGGCTATGAGGTCAAGTCCTAATACCAGCACACACACACACAAAAATAACATCTGGGGAATAATGAATCTTTATGTTGCTATAACTATAGACTAGAATTAAATGATTGAGTAAATTAAGAATGGATAGTAGGAACCACATATCTCACTTTTGGATTGGGGATTTACAGAAAAACCTAGAAAAGTAGAATGTATTTGTTGGAGGCATCATTGTGCATTCATAATTAGTTACAGATTAAGATACAGATGGATACACGAAGACACATTTGTAGATATGCATATAGACATGATTAATATTTGTTTTACTGGACAAGAAAACCTATTCAAAACAACACCCTGTTACCAATAAATGAATACATCTGGAGCCCAGGTCTTGGGTTCTGGTATCATTTTCCAATAAATAGAACCAGGGGTCATTTTAGGATGGAGCAGGAAACATACAAAATGAGCCTGGAAAACCTTGTAATATCAAGGAATTGTTGTGCACACAGGCATACATACACAATATTAAGTAATTATTAACTATAACGCACATCAAAGGGGTAGGACAAAGGAATGTAGACTCTAACTAAAAGAAGTCCCAATGGCCAAAGCTAGAGTAATTTGAGCAATAAAAAAAACATTAAATTATTACTTAAAGTATTAATGTACATCCATGAATTCCATACTAATAAAAATAATTGAATAAAATGATCTTTGAGGGAGAGTACACAACATACCATACAGAAGAATTCCACACATTTTTATACACTTTTTCTTCTTAGAATTTGAGTAAAAGTCCTTAATTCTTAGATTTGAGCTTCACATAGTGACTTGTGATCGCAGAGGATAGCCATTAACTTTATATTGGCAAAATCTGGCAAGTACTATCTCAGCAAGTGAAAAAGATAAACATCAACTGTCATAAATCACATTGACAGCATTTAATCTTGCTTTGCTGGATGAAAGGGCACTTTACCTCTGTGGATATCTGCTCAATATCCCACAACCCTGCTCTTTCACAAGAATAACAAGAGACACAGGGCAATAATAGCATGATATCCTATAAAATGCTTGACTGCTACTCATCAAAGCTGCCAATGTAAGGGAAAGAGTGGGTGGAGGAGAGAGAGAGGAAAAGAGGGAAGGAAGGAGGGAGGGGGGGAGAGAGAGAGCGAGAAATGAAACTATCAGCCAAGAGGAATCTAAGAGGTTATCACAAATAAGTATAATGTAGTATCCTAATTATAGTATATATACTATATATGTATTATATACTACATATAATATGTATTATATTATTTTGAGATAGCTATATAAACTGTAACAAGGAATTAATTTCTACTGGTAACAAAAGTTACAAATGTATTTTATATTTTGTGTTTTGTTTCCAGTATGTATATTTAAAAAGCATTTTTAATTTTTAATTTCAACAAGAGATAAGTAAAAATAAAGACGCAATTGTCTCATCTATAGTCTGCAATACTAAAGTATATTCATGCATACTAGTTATTGATTTAGATTAAGAATCCCCAGTCCCGTGATAATATTTATGGTTAAATTTTATGAAACCGAGTCTCAGAAAGATGAGCTACGTGTTCTAGCTCAGAACAGAGAAATTCTGAGTTTTGTTGGAACTCTCTTGGTTATTTCTTAATTTGGGAAATAATAAAGACTAATAGGAATATTCCTTTAGTAAACCTTCTTCCTTCACCTTCTGCAATTGCACTCTACCCTGCTGAACAAATTCTTCTGGACCTAGTGTTATGTAGTTCCAACATCAAGAAAAATTAAATGAGGAAACTCTACCTTCATACAACCCTAGTGTCAAGGAGAATCCCTGCTTGGAAATAACTCTGTTTGGGAAAGGCTTGTGGGTCAACTGCAAAGAATAATGCTAGGGCTTTCCCCCCTAAAACACTCAAATTCCAAACTGTTGGTATGATCGATAATTTGGGTGAAGAAGCAAAGAGGCAACAAGAAGGGAGAGAGAACAACCTTGTTAATAGCGGGTACCAATTTAAAGATAGGTGGGAGGGGATTATATGCAAATATCACATTCCCAAAGCAAATTCTGCTAAATCCATTTGCAAAGAAAGTCACTGCAATCCGTACATGTGCGTTCAATGTCTGGTTTCCAAATGTTATACCTGTCAGCAGTGCAAGCTGCCTATGTAGATGGGAGGAAGGGAAGAGAGTGGAGGAGAAGACAGAATAGAGTAAGGTGGTAGAGGGAACATCTGTGCACCACAGCAAAAGATTAAAAAAGAAAAGAGAATAAAAATGTAAAAAAATCCTGGTGTTTCTTGAATCCTTGCTCTGGTCATCCCATTTCACCTTTCCTTTAGGACATTCCCGTTCTATCAGTTAGCAGAGAGATGCCAGCTTTCATGATTGCTAGCTTAGCTGTGTGTGTGTGTGTGTGTGTGTGTGTGTGTGTGTGTGTGTGTGTGTGAGGTGGAGTTTGTTCAAGAGGGGTTTAGACAGTTAATTCAAAATATTTTCAGAGCGTTTGTATGTATCTATCTCAAAAGAAAACCTTAGCTCTCAGTTTCAGCGAAATGAACAATACTGATAAGATGCAGAAGAGGGGAAACCCACAGTCAGATGGAGCTGTCCACGCAGCCAGACTGACAGGGGAGCGCTGCGAAGAAGGACGCTCTGCAGATCAAGTGTCCCGGCCTCTTCTCCTTTAGAACACAATCCATCGACGCTGCATCTGCAAAAACAGAAATAGAAACTAAATCTACAATGCGCCGGGGAAGCGCGTTTCTGGCTGTCTTTCCCCCCAGGCCGGTAGAAGTGCGTCTCCCCCCGCAGGCCGCGCGGAATGTGGTGATCCGACGGGGGGGATGACTTCATACGGCCGGAGCTGGGCGGCGGGAGCGGCAGCTGCAGCTGGCAGGTGGGGTGGGGGCCCGGCAGGATCTGACCGTGCGCGCGGTGCGGGGCGGTGCGGCCGGGCGCGGTGGGACTGCAGCCTCGGGCAGCGGGAGCCCGGGACCAGCGCTGACTCGATCCTGGGAAGGTAAGCAGCTTGGCTATTATTAGCATTGGCCGAGGTGCTCGGAGCTTTCCACCCTGGGGGCGGGGGGAGGGGGCGGGAATGGGGTTTGCAGCAGCGCGGGGAAGGAGAGGGATAGCCCTGCTGCATTCTGCACCGGGAACGGGTGTAATAACTGGGATTGAAATGTTAATCAGCCAAGTGCTCGAGATTGGAGGAGCTGTGTTACTGGGCAAACAAAGGCGCCTTTCAGCATGTCTACTCTTCTTAAAGATGATAACCATTTCAATGCTGGATTTGCTTAGACTCTGAAGTGGATTGGAAATGTGAACATAATTTGAGTGCCTCTTTCATCTTTCTGCTTTCAATTGATTATCGCTGGGTTTGGAGCAGCAGGTCGTTGGCTACAGGCTGGGGAAGTAATCAGAAATCTTGGTGCTCTTCATACCATCCTGAGTCCTCTCTCTTCTCATTTTCAGACTGGGTCTATGTTCATCTCAATGTCGCAGCACCTGCTTCAATTCTGAGCCTTTTCAAAGAGTCTCTTGGTAAGGGAGAAACTTCTTACATATTGTAGAGTTCAGCTTGGCTAGGGCAGCATTTGACATCTCCTTTCTTTCATTTTCAGTCGATTTTGTCAATCCTTGCACTGATCTTTTGGGGGAGGATGCCCAGTGTCCATTCCCAAGCCAACTCTTGTCAGCTCTTACCTAGACTCAGTGCCATGGACGACTGTCAAGGACCCAGACAGGAATCCCTGCTGGGTATTCTCTCTCTCTCTCTCTCTCTCTCTCTCTCTCTCTCTCTCTCTCTCTCTCTCTCTCTCTCTCATTAATTGCCAGTGTCTTTTCCCCAAATACATAGGAAGCAGCAGCCTGTTTTCACTTACATGCTAAGATGTTTTTCCATAACTTTCTTAATTGTTGTCACTATGGTTGGCTACTAGAAGGTTTGAGAGAACAAACAGAATGTATGGGCTTTGCAGACTGCATCCTAGATATAAATCTAAGTGGAAGTAAACTGAATGCTAAGCTCTCCAGTTTTTCTTGCACTGTTGATAGTTTCAAGACAAATAGCTGATAGAGTTTAGGGCAAATCCAAACAGTAGTGAATTTGCCATTGCCTTTCTAGGTAACCAAGAATGAATTTCCAAAGGTCATTTCCCCATAGGCAATGAGAAAGCTATGGAGCTGCCCAGTATAAGCCTCAGTCTATTTTAGTATCCTTAGATTTCTCTGTCCATTTGTAGGTTCTCCCCACTTGTCCTCGGGTGTCTTCTGTAGGCCCCTGCTGCTGAGCTCAATTCCTTATGCTTATTGCCATTTGAATAATTTGCTGTGAAATAGCTAAGATGGCTGTGAGGGGGGATTGCAAATGTGCTACTTCATCAATAGGACAGTTGCGATATGACAGATCTTGGGGTGTCTATGTGACAATATTGTATTTAGAAAGATATCCATTACCTTTAAACTTGAAATTAGAGAGTCAATTTGGCTCAACAGCAATTCAAGTTTATTTTAGTAAATTAAAATAGATTATTGAAGAGAGTTTCTAGCTAAAAGTGTACCTCTGCTCACCTTCTTTTCCCAATACTGATGTTTATTTAGATAGATACTTGTTCTGAAATGTTATGGTAATTCTAGTATATATTAGTGTAATTTTTCTAATAAATACATATATATATTCTAATAAATACATATATATATGTATTCTAGTATATATTAGTGTAATTTTTCTAATAAATACATATATATGTATTTATATATATATATATATATGTACTTCCTTCAGAAAGATTTGAATTTGTTTATTTGTCTCCAGGTTCAGTGTATGGGTACAGGGAGTACAAGTGCCCAATAGAAATTAGCCTACCTCATGAACTGTCCTCTAGGATCTAAAAGATTTCAGGGCTATTTGTTTGTTTATCATTATTGTAATTACTATGTATTGAGCATTTTTCTTTGGATTTGAAAAACTATGCTTTTGAGAATGTTGAACCAGGTGTACCAACTCGAAGAGGTAACAAAGAAAAAGATCAAAATAAAAACTTTCTAATTTTATCACCATTCATTCCTACTTCTAAAATACTTAACTAATTAAAACATTGTTCTCAAGAATAACTAATGGCAAAAAATAATTATTTTTAATAATTAGCTCAAAATATACTTAACATAAACTATTCAGTGATCTGCAGTGCTAAGATTCTTTTTCTGAGAGAAGACCATTGATGAAGAATATCTTAATAATGTTAGGAGTTGAAAGTATCTATGATGGGGTTCCTGAATAAATTGAAATCTGTGGGTTGAAATAAGGCCAGTACCAAAGAATTGGTGCATCTCAAGTTGCCAGAATACCTGCCAGTGTATCACAGGAGAGACTTACAGGTGAGATTACTCCACTAAAGTTGGAGAAACCTCATTGAAAAATAAATAAAGCTATTAAATTTAATGGTCACTTTAGATAAACTGTGAAAGATAATTAAATTTAAGGGATGAATGAATTTAGAACTAGGTATCTCTGAATAATATGGAGAAATGTCTCAAAATTTAAGTCTCTGTGCAGAAACGTCTGTATGATTTTGTGATTAGAATTGAATTGTGACATTATTTCCTACCTTAATTTCTTTGAGAAAGGAAAGCTTAATTGGCTAGTGTTCAGAAAGGAAGGAAGAATGGAAAATGGGATGATATATGTATGATTAGATGCTAAATGGACTGTAGACATTTTGGTGGATTTGACAAGATACAATCAAAATCAATCAATCACTTCCCAGTTACACTGACAAACAACACATTTAGTCTGGAAGGCACTATTATCATCAGCTTTTAGTACAAATTGAGAAGTCAAGTTGACTTCTTATAACAAAAAAATCACCTTCCATATCACTATGGAACTATAGTATTGTATTATTGACATTAGCAACAATTGAAATAGCCTTATCTTGAGATTTTGAAGAATGGAAAAGAATAAAGGCAGGACTAGGACTGAACAGAAAAGCTATTCTATTTACTTAGTGCCTCCACTTAGAATGAGTGCAAATTAGTACTTTTGAAGGATGCCAATGAGCATTTCATTGACAGAAATCTGTAATATTTCCTCTTGTTTAGTATGAGTAACACATAATATGTACCAGATGCTGTGTTTCGCTTGATCCAGTTTCTTGGTAATCCTCTTAAAGTACCTCATGTCCAGCTTGAACCATGTGGTCTTTATTTTGCATGTGGGACTCCTGATACCATGCCTATATATATCCACCCTTTCTCTTAGACCATTCTTCTAGGCAGGAAAGGTTTTCACTTCTGACACTGCACTTCCATGAATCCTTCCCTCTACCCACCTTCCTTCCCCCAATCTGCTAAGAATACTTTTCCCTTGTCTATATTCCTATCAAATTTCTATAGGAAATTTTGGTTTTTCTTTCATGTGAACATGCTTTTTCTACTTATCTAACATACCCTTAGTTAACAGGGACAAGAACTGAACTAAAACTCATGCTACAGTGCCTAGTTGGGAATATGTGTAGTCGGTGTTCAACAATTTGAGTTTAATAAAAAATAAGTTATTCATATAAAGTTAAATATCTACCCATCTATTCTCCAGAACTACTAAGTTACAATAAAAAAAATCTTTATACAATAGCAAATACTAATAGCATCATGAAGAAGATATGTACCTGATCTTCGTGTGCTTGCTCTGAGTAGGGCCAGGTACCTTCTACTATACAAGCACTTATCTTGTTTTGAGGCATTTTCATAAGTATTATATGATAATTTCACATCGAGAAAAATGTGGCCGAGAGATGTCACCTAAATGGCACAAATTCTTTCTTTGTTACCAGGCTGCTCTTTCAAGTGTAATGCAGTGAAAAGAAAGCATTTTAAAAACATAAGGTCAGAGCCTTCAAAGTAATTTTAAATTGTTTCCTGATTCATCTTTCTAGTGTTCCTTAAGTGTGTGGGTGTTACCATCCCTTTAACAATTCAATGACTGATATGCATTCTTCCCACAAGTAAACACACACACACACACACACACACACACACACACACACACACACACACACACGTATACTGTCCCTCCCCCAGGCTTTTGATTTCACAGTTATATGCTTTTAGGAGTCCAGTAAAGCCCTCTATGAAGGGTTAAAGACTGTCTACTTTGAGCTTAGTGACAATATGTGCTTCTTTTGTTAGCTCAGACATTTCCCACACTTACTGTGATTTCTCCTTCCTCTGTTCTTTCTGCCTTAGAAACTGGAATGAGAGTCCTCACACTAGTATTGCCATAGGCAGCTGAGATGTCTAGGAAGCAAATGCCAGTGATAAGAGTGATTCAGAAAATCTTGATTCATGGAAAAAGGCATCCTAGAAGGAGCTCTGAGTGTTGCACATTGCAGATGATTTATTTAGGGTTTTCCAATCAAAACCATTTTTACATGAAAGAGCCAGTTTTCTCAGATTAGAGTACCACACTGCCAAATATGTAGAAGAACATTGCCAGCAGTTGACTGGTATAGTCTACTTTGAAATATATTCATTTCACTTCAGATGGATTTATATCTGCCTCACAAACTATTTATTCCTGCCTTCAGTAATATATTTGCTTTTTCCAAATTAAGGAAAGAACAAGTTATGCTTGGCTCTCCTAAATCCTAAAACGACTGTCACCCTAAACAGCTGCAATCACCTTAGGTAAACAAAACTGCCTACATTCTTAGCTGATATTTAAAGGAGCTGAAAATAGCTAACAAAGTTCCAGTTGAATTTAGCACACAAAAAGACAGAGAAAGTATAACATTAATCTAGGGGAAAAAGAAGAAGGACAGATGAAAGCACTCAAAAGACCTTTTGTGAATCCAAAATATGATAGTAATTGTACAAACTCATAAACGATATTAAAATATCACTTACATAACCTGCCAAGTATGAGGTAACTTTATGCCTTAATTTTATAGTATATTTTAATGTTTTAATTTTTTGCTGTGGTAGAATATACACCCATTAGGGGAATTAATTGCATGTAGATGGACACCAGTGGCTCACATCCGTAACTCTGGCTACTCAGGAGGCTGAGATCTGAGAATAATAACTCAAAGCCAGCCCAAGCAGGAAAGTACAAGAGACTCTTACCTCCCATTAGCCACCAAAAATCTAGAAAAAGAGCAGTAGTTCAAGTGGCAGAGCACTAGCCTTGAGTAAAGAAATCTCAGGGACAGTCCCCACGCTCTGAGTTCAAGCCCCAATGTAGACACACACACACACACACACACACACACACACACACACACACTCAAATGTGTGTATACTTTAAATATAAATTGTATATGATAAGTTTTATATCACTAAAATTAATGGTAAATATATTTAAATTAATATATAAAATCTAACCATTTTAACTTTTCAGTATACAGTTCACTAGTAGTAAATACATTTACTACTAGTGATGATTGTATATGTAAATATTGGACAATCATAACACTACCTACTTTCAGAAGTTTGTCGCCATTTCCAACTAAACTGTTAAATAATAACCTGTTATTATTTAGTCT